AGGCTTGTAAATGCTGAGCTGAGGAGTGTGTATTCAATCTTAGAGGCAACAGGGAGACACTGAAAGTTCTTGAGCAGGAAACTGTCATGGTCATACTTGTGTTTTAGGGAGGTTATTTTAGCAGCTATATGGAAAATGGGTCACAGAGGGGAGAGACTGACAGCAGATACTAAAAAGGAGGCTATTATAATAGTTAAGGTGAGAAGTAATATGGGCTTGAATCTAGGGTGGTGGCTGAGTAAATGGAAGGAAGGGGAAAGATTATACACTCACGCATATGTGTACATGAAAACATAGTACATACAAGCACAATGTTCACACATGTGCCTATACGTGCCATCGGACACATGTACACATGTGTGCACACGTACACGTGTATGTATACATATATGCGTGCATGCATGCATACATACATACATATATATGTATACACACATGTGAATATCAGTGTTTCACCTTCTCTTCACTTACTCAGCCATTGACCTGGGCCCTTACCACTTCTCACCTTGCCTCTTACATTTATGGGCATATATATGTGTGTATATATATATATATATATATATACATATCTATCTATCTATCTATATAGATATAGATATATAGATATCTATATATCTATATCTATATCTATATCTATATCTATATATATATCTATATCTTGATATACCCTGTTCATTTGTTTCAGTTGTGTCTGACTCTCTTTGACCTCAGTTGGGGTTTTCTTGGCAAAGATATTGGAGTGGTTTGCCATTTCCTTCTCCAGCTCATTTTACGGATGAGGAAACTGAGGCAAACAGGGCGAAGTGACTTGCCTAGGGTCACACAGCTAGTAGGTATCTGAGGCCAGGTTTGTACTCGGGTCTTCTTGACTCCAGGTCTGGTGCTGTATCCACTACGGCACCACCTAGCTGCCCTCTGCATGTACCTAGCTAATATTTATTTTTGTTACCTCCATTAAAATATATGATCCTTGAGGTAAGGGACTATTTTCCTCCTTTATTGGTAGCCCCTGAACTTAGCACAGTGCCAGTACATATTAAGCACTTAATAAATGAGGGGAGGGGAAGAAGCATTAATTAAGCACCTGCTATGTGCCTGGCTTTGTGAGAAGCACTTTACATATCTCATTTGATTATCACAACAACTGTGGGAGGGATCCTATTAATAGCATTTCAACCTGGGATGCTGTTATCACCCCCCATTTTACAGATGAGGAAATGGAGGTTAAGTAAGTTACCCAAGGCCACACAGCTGAGGTCACACAGTAATTGTCTGAGACCAGGCCCAGTGCTCTAAGCACTGTACCACGTAGCCTTTTCTAACTAATGTTTGCTTTGTTGGAGTCAGTGGGTGCAGAATATTGTATATACTGTTGGAAACATTTGTTTTTGCTGAATTCTTCCCCCTCCCTTTTAAAGCCATTGTTATAAAGAAGGTATTATTTGGTAGGGAAGGATATTTTTGGAAATCCAGGCCATATAAAATCATATATCCATAAATATAAGAGAGAAAAATTCTTTGGGAACCCCTCTTAAAAGAACAGCTTGCCTCTGTATATGCCAGGTGCCTCACATACAGGAAGTGAAGAAGGCACAAGAGAATTTTGCAGATTTCTCTCCCAGAAACTAGTCTCCATTTGGCTAAACTGATGAAATAAAATGCATAGAAACATGACTTAATTGTAGATTTGATGTGCCCACCAGCCAAAGAACGTTCCCAAGCATTCCCAGCTCTTTCTGAATGGCTCTAGCGAGAGGCACTCCACTGCAGGTCTTTCTTCTCACAAAGGCTCTATTTCCAACCCAGTGCTGAGCAGTTCAGGCAGATAATTTTCTCCCTTTCCTAACCTGCTGAATCAGATCAAATAATTTAAATGTTATAAACATGAAAAAGAATATGGCAGAAAACTTCTAAGTGGGAGCCAGTTTGATCCCTCTTTTTTCTTACGTTTCTTTCATGTGCAGAGATTTTCTCGATGTCTGTGGACCAATGGTAGGTATCATTCTCCTACAGTCAACCCAGCTAAGTTTTCTATCTATGCAAAACACAGTGACAAGAATCTAGCACTTGGAAGTTCTCACACTTTACATGAATTCATGCCCTCAATTTTCAGATTTCTCCCCATGAGATGCCCATGTGAGCTCTACAAAGTTTGCTTTCTCAATTTGAATTCCAGGACCGCTCAAGGACAAGACTGAATTGCTAAGAATATCTTGTAGAAAACATAACATTTTTACCTTTAGCTCTTGTTCTGTTGTGCATGTGTTGATTGTATCACTTTCTTATTTTATTTTGCATGCTGTAACTGAACAACCAGAAACATTTTGACTATCTGTTTTTCAAAAGAAATAGGAAACTGATTCAACCTTGGCCCTTAACAGGAAACTATCGAATTGTTGCTCGTGGATCTAAAAGCCATGATGACATGGTCCGTGATGCTGGGGAGAAGAGGGAGCAAGCAGAATGTGATATTCAAAAGCTTTGCCTTATTATAACTTATCTGCATGATCTTGAACAAGCCTCTTCCCCATTCTGAGCCTTAGTTTCCTTTTCTGTAAAATGAGAGGATTAGATGCTTTCTGAGAGCTCTTGTGGCTCTCAGTCTTAGGAACCAGAAACCTGAAAGGTGGGCTACATACTTGTATGACTTGTCCAAGATCATACTATTAACATGTATGAGAGGTAAGATTTGAACATAGGTCCTCTGTATGTGTGTGTTCATTCATGTGGGCTAGAATAAGGAGAAAAGTATTAAGTCTTTTGGAGGCCATTTTTCCTGTTGAAAAATTAAATGCTAGTAGAGATGAGTTTCTCTCTCTCTCTCTCTCTCTCTCTCTCTTTCTCTCTCTCTCTCTCTCTCTCTCTCATAATGGCTAACATTCATTTTCTGCTTACTATTTGCCAGTCACTATGCTAAGGTCTTTACAATTATTATCTCATTTGATCCTCAACAACTTTTGGAGGTAGGTGCTATTATTATTCCAATTTATAGATGAGGAAACTGAGGCACACAGGGTTAAGTGAGTTGCCCAGAGTCACCCAGTAAGTGTCTGAAACTGGATTTGAACTCAGGTTTTCCTGATTTCAGGGCCAGTACTCTAGCCACCTAGATGCTTTCCTTCCCTTCCTTCCCTCCCCACTCTGTGTCTCTGTCTCACACACACACTCACACACACACACACACACACACACTGTCTCTCTCACACACATTTTCTCTCACACACACACGTGCTCTCTGTGTCTGTCTCACATACACACTCTTTTTCTCTTTCTCACACACACTCTCTGTCTCTCACACATGCTCTCTGTGTCTCTCACATACACACTTTTTCTCTCTCTCACACTCACACACACACACATACACTCTGTCTCTAACACACTCTCTCCCTTTCTCACTCTCTCCCTCTCTCTCTCTCTCTCTCTCACACACACACACACACATACACTCTGTCTCTCTCACACACTCTCTCCCTTCTCTCTCTCTCTCTCTCTCTCTCTCTCTCTCTCTCTCTCTCTCTCTCTCTCTCTCTCTCTCTCTCTCTCTCTCTCATACACACTCACCAGATTTTTGTCATCTGTACATTTGATGGAGATGCCATACTGGCTGCTGTCCAATTCAATGGTACAAATGTTCGCCAGAACAGGAGGCAACATGGAATCCTGGGGGTGAGCCATTGGAACCCTCCTTTGAGTAGACTTAAAAACCATCTGATTGTGCAGGCCATGTCATCTGGTCTAGGACAGTGTGAGAAACTTTGTCAGTATTTTGAAGTTTAAATTAACTATTATGGTTACAAAATTCCCATTCCAATCTAGGAACCCCATCAAAGGAAAAAGAAAGGAAATTAGCTTAATTTAGTAGGCACAACTCATTCTTGGTGTGATCATGCTAGCTCTTTGGATGCCATTTCGTTTTCTAGATGTTCACTAACTATTCCTTTAATGATAGCCTAGAATTTTGCCAGGAGTTGAAGTCAAGTTTACTGGGCTGTAATTCTCTCCCCTCCCAGTTTTCTTTTTCTTTTTTTTTTTTTTTGAAAATCAGGACATTTGCCTCCTCTCGTCCTGTGGTTCCTCTTCATTATCTTTTATGTATCCCTGAAAGTCACTCAGCAATCAACTCTGGCAGTCAATTCAACCAGAGGCTTCTTTTGGGCCATATTTTTGTTTGAAGTTAGTGGAAAGAGCGCTGGGCCTAGGAGCCAGGAAGACCTAAGTTCACATCTGGCTTTTAAATACTTATCAGGTGTGTGACCCTGGGGAAGTCGCTTAAAAAAATCCACCCACCTGCAAACCTCTCTCTCAATTTCCCCAACTGTAAAACAGCGTAAGAGCAGCACCTACCTCCCAGGGTTCTTATGAAGATCAAATGAGATAATGCTCATAAAGCACTTACTTAGCACACTTCCTAGCACACAGCAGACTCTTATTAAATGCATGTTCCCTTCACTTCTACTTTATACCAGTCATTTCCTGATATCCACCCCAATTCCCATCTCTCTATCCCCAAATTGAACCCACCTTTGTAAGAAAGAACATGTTAAGCACTGCCCACTAGCATAATTGTATCTGATGGGGTTTGCAATGCACCATAAATGTATAGTTAATTTCTCTACAAAAGACTCTACAAGTAGAGCTGCATGGCACTTCAGAGGCCACACAGTCTGGTCCCCTCATTTTACAGATGACTCAAAAGTCCAAAGAGTTTAAATCATTTGCCTGTGGTCACACAGGAGTTAAGCGTCAGAGGCAGCACTTGAATCCACATCAGTTATATTTGATCTGCCTTTTGGAAACTTTTGGTCAATTAGTAACAAATAAAATTTGTTCCAAGTTTTGTAAACATTAAGTGGCTCTTTCAGCCAGGCTACAGATGCAGAATTTCTAATTATACCTACTAGCTGCCAGTTTGGCTTTTTTTTTTTTCAGAGTGGCATACATAAGCCTGGAAAACATCGTAAATAAAGCATATAGGTTTCATTTACAAAAGATGAGAATAGCGTGGATCTGAGTCTAAAACTGTGTGATTTGTCAAGGACTGTGCCTTAGCATTACCTGGAAGCGACCTTTTAATTTATATTTGTTCCTTCACTAAAGAACTAACAGGTTTCCTAACCTACTTTTTGTTGTTCATTCATTTTCAGTTGTGTCCAACTCTTGTTTCCCAATTTGGGGTTTTTGTGGCAAAGATACTAGAGTGGTTTGCCATTTCCTTCTGCAGCTCATTTTGCAGGTGAGGAAACTGAGGCAAACAGCATGACGTTACTCAGGGTCACACAGCTAGTGAGTATCTGAAGCCGGATTGGAACGCAGGTAGATAAATCTTCCTGACTTCAGGCCCAGCACTCTATCCACTGCACCACCCAGCTGCCCTTAATCAAGGGGGTTTTAAATAATGAAGCCAAGACTATGTTAATCGTATGTCAGTGAGGGGAGGACTGAGGGGTGGGGAATACAAATGGTTGTTTTTTTCCTATAGACAAAACAAGCACCCAGTTGACTTAAAATTTTGCTCTTTGACTTTTCAGTAACCTGGTCACTTTGCCATTATGTAGATGCCAATCAGTACTGTTTATTGAACACAATTAAGCATCTAACACTGATATAAAATCTCTCTGTCCTCTCTGCAAGGGGGAGAATAAACCATGAAAGCTATAGGATGGAAGACTAGTCAAAGAGGCTTCTGACAACATTTTCCCTACAAAAATGGACACAGCACCACTAGGTTTGCTTGAGCCATCGTGCTAGCAGTATGTGAAACAGTAAACGAAAAATATATTTTGGACAAAAATGGAGGTCATTGTTTTGTGACAGTCCTTTGGCATAAGGAAGTCCCTTCAGTGGGGACTCAGGGTTCCCCTATCGACGCCTGCTTTCTACAGTTGGGCTCAGTGCCCTACCCTATGAGGGTAGGTGCGACTATCAATAGGTTAAGTCCTTGTCTAGGTACCCAGTTTATGTCTAAGGATGGACCAGAAGCCAGCCAGAGACATTGAGAAAAAAACCCATTACTGAGTTGAGGTGTTGAGAATGACATGTAAAACAATGGGAATCAGTTCAATGCAAAACTTTATTGCAATCAATGGGAAAGAGAGGGAAGGGGAAAGGAAAAGAGAACTGACACAGAACTCAGACACACTCACTAACATAGAGTGTAGCTTACTTAAGGGCAGTGCTGAGCTGGCAAGCACAGACACAGGTCCATTTGGGGCAAGGCAGAGAAGGGGTGCTCCAGTGGGAAGGGATGCTTCTGGCTGGAGGGGAAGGTGTGTTCTAAAGTGCCCTTCTGTAAGTGAGATTCTTGTAGAGTGGGCTGATTTGTGTATCAGTGGTCAGGGCAGAATATTGTTTTGGCATTTTTTGCATATCAAGGAGAAAAACAAGCTAGTGGTAGACAAAATCTCTTTTGGGGGGCCCAGATTTACTAACTTTCGCAAAATATTATTGTCAGTATTTTTCCAAGAGTTTGTTCTATAAGCTTCTAGCCTCCCCTATGGGGAGGCCATCATGATGGCCTCCAGACCAGCAGTCCCAATGTTATAACAGACATTTCCATGCACAGATTCTATAAGCTACAGCTTCTCTTACAGGGAGACTGTCACGGGGGTCTCAAGACCACTAGGCCCAATCTTATCAAAGTGGTCCAAAACGATGCTGTTTTGTTAGCATCCAAAAGATATAAGGGGAAAAGGCGTGAGGAAAAATAGCATTCAAATGATACTTAATGAAGATTCTCTATTCCTCTGTTTTATCAGTTCACAGAATTATAGACTAGGTACCAGAGGGAACCTTAAGAGTTCATCTAATCCAACCTCTTCCTTTTAACAGAGGAGGAAACTGAGGCCCAGAGAGCTTATGTGCTTGTTTACACTCACAGTTTCTGTTTCAGAGTTGGAATTCAAATGTAGGTCCTTGGACTTCAGACTCTATTCATTCACTGTGATGCAGCTTCTTAGCTGGCAGGCTGGTCTAGCAGACCGAATGCTGGATTTGGAGTCAGGGACAACTTGTGTTCAAATTGTGCCTTTAACGTTTGCTAGGTGTGTAACAGTCCTGAGCCGCAGGTAGATCACTTAGGATTGTCAGGTCTAAGTGGGCTGTGGATGAAGGTCCCATAGAAAATGAAATTTTTTTCAGCTACAGGAAAATTTCCTATAATTTGAACACACAGAGCACACCATATTCTTCATATTTGTTCCTCTTATGAGATCATTAATCTAGTTACTATCCTTAAAATACTATTTGTAACCAAAGATTCCTGTTATGGCTTTCATATTTCCTAAAATAAAAATTCCAAACAAGAACAATAATTGTGTGATTATAAACTGAAAAAAATTCAGAAAAATCCGTGAGTCCTGCCTCATACAACTAAGTTCTTTGGGAGGAAAAGGGTGCATTTTCTTTTGCACAGTAGTTCTATATTTTGCACATACGTGCACATACATACGACAATTTAGATGAACAATACATTCAATCTTATGAAAGTAAGAAAATTTGTGACCCAGCTCAAACAAGTCAGTCATATTTCTTTGTTAATCTTTTTACTGCCACTTTACAGAGAGCTTTGGGATTGTCCTGAAGTGTATCTAAATAATTTAATGACTCTGTGGATCCATGACTTTTCACTCACCCTTACTTTGCATTCTTCAACTCCTTCTAAGAGTTATGTTTTTTTTCTCTCCCTTCTTCAGACCAAGACTCAAATGCTTGTAAAGAAAATCCCCAAATTTAATGTAATTGGAGTTTTTTGTTGAGGAGATTTTGGTAAAACTCTTCTGTACTTCTTTGCTTTCTGTAAAGGAATGGGTGACTCAGGATATAGAATACTCAGTATTTAAAACTGTCAAGCCATGACCATTGTGTTTTTTGGTTTTGGTCAACTCTTGTTTTGTTGTTGCAGTTACAAAGGAGGAATCACTGTGTAGGTGGGAAAGTTGTAGTATATTTGGCAATGACTCTGATATTAAACCAAAACGTATTAGGGAAACATTAATTACTCCAAAATCCCACAATGCTGCATACTTTAAATTTAGGCAAAGAAGAGCTGTGGACAGTGATCTCATTAACTGGAACTTTCTGATATAAATTGAGTTGTTCATAGTAAGCATCATGCATTCTTCTTTAAGTCAGGATGCTCTTGTATTGGCCTCTCTATTTCATTAGAAGTTGTGATTCATCTTTGCTTCTTATATGACTATTTTACTATGTCTACCAAGATACACAAAGCATTAGGTTTTAAGAAATCCCTTTCTGAGATTCATATGGACATTCATATGAACACTCAGATGGATCACAGAACTGAAGAAGGAGGAAACTAAAATTGAGTTCTGCTGAAACTTTGTCATTAACATATAACAGAATTGTTTTAAACTTTGAAGATAAAAACGTTCTTAGAAGCAAAAGAAGTGATACAGATTTTAGAACTACCTGAAGCCATTGGTTTAAGCCCTACATATTTTATTTCTTAAATATACAAACTTTTGTCCTCTCTAAGGAACCGTTTTAACCCTCCAAACATTTATGGTTAGCTATTCTGAACCAAATTTCTTTAATCAACTTGATATTCTTCTGTGATTAAAGAAAAAATCAGAGGCCTGAATTTGATAGTACCAAAAGGTTCAATCACATCCCATTTCCTGTACTGTTTTGAGTGGCATAATGCTATGAACCTGTCTCATATAGGTGAAACATAGTGATGAAGATGGATTCAATTTCCTGCCCTATTTCAGCCATACTCCTGTAGTCCAAATAACCAGCTGTTGGTTTCTTCATATTCCTCTGTGCCCACTCATTAGCAAACACTTTTGCATGTGAGGGCATTGAAGTTTGCATGAATGTGTTTTAAAGCAACAGCTTATTAACTGTCTTTGACTTTATATAGTTGTATGGCTACTTTCTCAAATATCAATCATATTTGGAGCAATGAAATGTCTAGTTTCAAAGGTTCCTTCCAAAATTGATGAAATTTCCTCTTAGGTGTAGAATGAAAAATAATCTGTGGAAAGAATTAGACTTGCTAAAGAATAAATCTATAAATATTACTAAGGGGACCAATCTAGTATATTACAATGTGTTCCCTAGATTTATGACAAATACATATCAATGCAAAAAACAGGTCTGTATGTACAGTGTGTCAGATAACGTAATATATTTTTGTAGGTTCTGCTTTGAGACTTTTTTTTGACTGAACTAGTTTTTGCCCACCTATCATATTTCACATTTGTCAGTTTTTAAGGATTTCATATATTTTGCTTCACAATTTAAAAATCAAAATGCATCTTTTTTCACATTTTAGAAAAATTAGAGAGAAAATCCAACACACCCATCAACTAGAATAAATGAGAAACCAAAACATATGAAGTAAGAAATCTGAAGATGGTGATATCTGAACAAAATATACACCTCTCCTCAGGAAACTCAGAGTTACTTAGATAAAATCCAGTTTCAGGTCTTTGGATTTTTTTTTTTACAAATAAGCAGAAATATCATTTGGTTTTATTTTTCAAATTCCAAGACTGTAACTGTGAGGCAGAGTATAAATGAATTTCAAAGAAAAGCAAGTACGTGGTTTTTTTCATTGTCTTCAGTATACAAATCCACACGTACACATGAATTTACTGGATGACATGCAGTTTTAATAAATGGTTTGCAAGGGACATCTAGCTTGTCTCAAGGTTATCTAATTTATTCTCTTGCTCTTAGGCAGAATTACCTCTAAAAACTCAGAAAACAGTCAGAAGTATATATTTTCTAAAGACATCCACAGAAAGAAATTCTATTAAGCTCTGCAAGAGAAATATTAAAGTTGCTTGTAATTATTATCTTACCTTCACAGTCATTCACAGGGGCCATCTAGTCACCTCAAGAGCATATCCAGTCACTGGTTTTCCAGCCTGTCAGTGAGGAAAAATCAACTGAAGTACAAGTCTGACCAAGGTAGACTGGAGTGACTCTCTATGGTCTGGAAAGGACAGGATCAAACAGAAAATTCACTGGTGCTCAAACCCTTTTATAACTTGGTACTCTCAACTCTCCAGTCTTCTTACACTTTTGCTGCCCCACCTTGCTATTCCTTGCACAAGACATTCATCTCCTGACTCTGGTCATTCTCAGTGGCTTCCTGGCTCCCCGCCCCCTCCCCCCCATATGACTGGAATTCTCTCCCTCCTTATCTCTTCGCTTCAGGCTTCCCTGGTGTCCCAGCTAAAATCCCACCTTCTACACGAAGCCTTTCTGTATTCCTTTCAATGCTCGTGCCTTTCCTCTACTTATTATGTCCAGTTTATCCTGAGTATATATAGCTTGTTTGCCATGTTTTCTCCCCCATTAGACTGTGAACTCCTTGAGAGAAAGGACTGTCTCCTTTTCTTTGTATCCCCAGAATTTAGCACAGGGCCTGGCACATGGAAGAGCTTAACAGATGTTTATTGATTGACTAAGGCAGTCCATTCCACTTTTTGATAACTCTTGGAATTGAGATGTTTGCTTCTTAATGCCTTTTAAATCTTCCTTTTTCTCAATCATTGCTCCTAATTCTGCCCTCTGTGGCTAAGCAGAACAAACCTAATTCTTGGTCCATGTCCCATAGTCCTTCAGGTTGCTGTCAAGTCTACCTCTAAAGTCTTCTTTTCTCTGCTCCTTCAACGTACCCTCTATGTGGGCTGGACTGGAGGCTCTTGTTCATCCCTGACAGTCCACCTCTGGGCACTCTCCAGCTTAATCAAAACCCTTCCTGACACATGGAGGAGGGGGTGCACTGGGAGGAAGTAGAACACAAAAAATAGATCTTCACATATTTGATGTGGAAGAGGGGGTAGATTTGTTCTACTTGGCCCCTCAGGGGAAGAGCCAGGAGTAATGGGTGCAAGGGGTGAAGAAATAGATTTAAGGTCAAGTAGGGAAAACCTTCCCAACAATGAGACCTGTCTCAGTGGGCTGCCCGGGGGCGGGGGTGGGGGCGGGGTCCCTCTATCTGAGAATCTTTAAGCAAAGGCTTGGTGACCACTTGTCAGGTATATGGAAAGAGGGCTCTTAGGTCTGTTTGAGAGTAAATGGTCTCCCAGGTCCCTTTCTGCGCCTCTGGGATGCTCTGTAGCTGGCCTTCCCCGCCTCATGTTGCTGCCGCCTCCTCGGTTCCAGCTCCCCATTGTTAACGTACAGCCACCTCCCCTCCCCTGCTCAGCAGGGCCCCTCCTGCCCCAAGCCCAAACCCGAGTACCATCTGCTGCCTTAGGGTCAATGGTCCCTGTACACAGGTGGAAGAGGGAATCCCGTGCCATCAGGTAGGTTAAGGGGCAAATGTCCAAACTGAAGGGTCTTCTGAGAGCATCCAAGCTGAGGGCACGTGTTTGCTGAACAGAGGCGCTGTCACGTGTAGTCAGGCCGAAAGGATCACGCGAACAGGCTAGCCATATGCAACCAGGCAGAGGGCGCATGCGTGCAGGGGGGGGGGACTGTCACGTGCAGCCTGGCTGAGAGTGCGCTGGAGACTGTGGCCTGGGCAGCCCTGCAGAGGAGCGTATTTGTGCCGAGAGCAGGCAGCCCTTCGTAATGGCGGGGCCAAGGAAAGAGGGTCCTAGATTCCAGAATGGAGCCAGGTAAAGGGGCCATCTCTGACTTATCATAGGAGAGGACCACGTGGTAGAACCTTTGGTTATGGGGCGGGGTTGGACCTAGGTGGGGAGCTGAGCCCCGACGACGTGGTCTTGTGCTGCCGTTGGCTCTGTGTCCCCGTAGGAAGGCAAAGACCTTCATCAGTTGCAGTTGTTCAGTATCATCCCAGGAGCTGTACTGCGCCCTGGGGATATTGAGACAAGATAAAGAAGTCCCTGCCCTGAAGGACCCTACACTCTTGGGGAGAAATGGAGGTGACTGTATGTAAATAGGGATTCACGTTGTCATAGAGATGAGAGACATAATAGCAAGGGCCCCTCTCCCGAGTTTTTCCCCTAGGAATCATACACGGATATACAGAGTGATGAGGGGGAGGGATGAAGAAACTAATAACTGAAGGAATCAACAACAGTTCCTTGAGGGAGGTGAAAATGGAGTTGAGTTTGAAGAAACCTCAGGATGCCAAGAGTAGGAGGTGAGGAGGGAGATAAATTCAGGTATGGCGAGAGCCCTAGCAAAGTCATTGAGAAGGATGTTGGATTGTATCTGGGGAGCTGATCACAGAACAATTTGGCTGTAGGGTACAGTGTTGAGGTAAGCTAGAGCTAAACAGGGAAGACTTTTAAATACTCAGAGTTTTTATCTTATCCTAGAGGCAGTAGGTAGCTGATAGAGCTTTGTGAGCAGGGGAATAACATGATTGGACGCTCTGTTCCACTCTTCTAATGGCATTCTATTGGACTATTCCTTAGTGCAGATAACTTAAGAGATATTGACCCGGGATACCTTGGTACAGTAAGTTAGTGGACCTCTCTGACAGAATGATAGACTGCGGATTAGACAAGACCTTAGAGTCCATCCATGCCAACTGGTACTTGCTTGACCAAGATTTCTTAACAAGTGAATGGTCAAGAATTTTGCAGACAGTACTACTTAAGGCTCAGTAATATTTCAGCCACTTCTGAAGCTGTTTTACTGTTATTATCTAAAGTACGCTTCTTCTTGTCCAGAAGGCTATTTGTGAGGGACTTTGTCACTTTTTTTTTTTTGGCTAGATTCTATGTTTATTATGTCGTCAGCATTTTCTTAATCTAATGACATTGCTCCAAAAAACATGGCTTTTATTTGTTAAAGCTTTGCCCATTGCAGAAATAGAAGTTAAGAAGTAGGGCAAGTTTTTAGAGGGAAAAATGTATTGCACTTTGGACATGGTGAATTTGAGGTCTTCATGGGTTATCTGGATGCAGACATCCAGTAGGCAAGGAGAAACAGGTTTGCAGTTCAAGAGATAGGATGAATGTGTTCATCTGGGAGTCATCCCTTTAAAGATGATTGCTGAATAGAAAAGGAGGGGAGAGGGAAGAAAAACGGGGGAAAAAAATCCAGGACAGAGCTTTGGGATGGACCCATAGTAGATGTGACATAGATTCAGTAAAGGTTTCTTGAGACTGAATGAACCTAAAGGAAACAATGTGAAATGCACAGTAGTAGAGAATATCCCCCCAAAATGTGCTCAGCAGGATAAAATGTTGCCAAGTCAGGAAGGATGGGAATGGCCAAAAGGTCATTGGATGTGGCAGTAGATCATTTATTATCTCAGACAGAGCAGTTTCAGTTTAGTAGTGAGGACAGAAGCTGGGTTGCTTAGGAGTAGAGAAATTAGTGGTGAGTGAGGAAGTGAAGGCAATGAATGTAGAAGAGATGTTTTAGAAATTTGACTGTGAACTGGAGAAGAGGTACAGGACAATAGCTAGAGAGGATTTAGGTGAAGCCATACCTTGACCTTCAGACAACATGATAGCTGCCATACATGGCAGTTTGATTCTGATCTCCCAGGGTTTTTCTTCATGTCACTCTGTGTCATTCACAGTTAAATGTTTAATAAGAGAATATGCCTGCCACCTTGACAGAATAGAGGTTAATGGGAAGAGTGATCCCCTTTGTTGCATTTTGAATAGAATATTCAAAATATTCAATTTGAGTACAATTTGTAGGGTTTGAAGTTCTTTGAATAATTCAGGTCCATTCATTTATTCCTGATTAGTGAATCAAGATCTACAAAAAAGTATTTTATTTTATGACATGGAAAATTAATAATTTATTACTTCACTCATTAGCTTTAGAGAAAACATTAAGGAAAACTAACTTTTAGGTTTGTGCTAATTATCTGCCACCCAAAGTGAAGGAAGAAGGCAGTTATTGGGTTTGGTGAGTGTGGATAGCTGTTTCAGTGTTTGGCCAAAACATCACCCCCACACAGATGTGTGTGCCTTTCCTATTTATTTTCTCAGAAATTCAAAGATGGAAATTTTATTGTGATAATTAAAGAATCTCATACAGAGACTCAGAAGATGTCACAGTTGTAGGAGACCTAGTTTTTCTTTGAATCAAGTCTAATTCTGCCTTTTGATAACTTCTACTTATTGTTCCTGTTTCTGCTCTTTTGGTCCTTCCAACTTGGTATAAACTGAAAATTTGATAAGCTTTTCACAAATTAAAAAAAATGTGTTTTTATATATCTATATCTATATCTATATATATCTGTATACATATGTATACAGATATATATGTTTTGTTTTTATGTAATCTTCATATCTTAATATAACCTTACTCTCTCCCCACCAGAAACCACTCTTTATAACAGAGAGAATAAAAAAGGGGACAGAAAGTTCAGCGAAACTAGTCAGCACACCACAATACGACAGGAGAATCAGTGTCACCCCAGGTTTGTGAAGAATGAATCTAAGTGCCTTTTCTCATCTCTTCTTTGGGGACAAGTTTGGATAGTATAATTGAACTGTTTAGTTTTCAGGTCTTTTGATATTCTTTCCATTTACCTTGTTGTCGTCACAGTGTATATTCTTTTCTGCAGTCTGTATCAACACCTTAGGAAATAGTCCTTGATTTGCTTTTCAAGGCAGCTAGGTGGTGCAGTGGATAGAGTGCCGGGCCTTGAGTCAGGAAGACTGTTCTTTGTGAATTCAAATCTGTCCTCAGCCGCGTACTAGCCGTGTGACCCTGAGCAAGTCACTTAAGCTTGTTTGCCTTAATTCCTCATTGGTAGAATGAGCTGAAGAAAGAAATGAGAAACCACTCCAGTATCTTTGCCAAGAAAACCCCAAATGGGATCACAAAGAGTCGGATGTGACTGAACAACAAATTGTGTTTTTCCGTATTTTTCATCAGTAACATGAAGGAGGTAATGATGTATGTGCAGATGGCTAGTGTGCTGCTGATGGAGTTCTGATTTGGTCCAGCCATTCTGGAAAGCAATTTGTGATTTTTCTAAGGAGAGAACTAAAACTTTTCGTACCCTTTGTCGAATTCTTGTTTAAGAAGGAGAAGTCTGGGGCACTTAGGTGGTGCGGTGGATAGAGCACCGGCCCTGGAGTCAGGAGGGCCTGAGTTCAAATTTGGCTTCAGAAACTTGTCACGTATTAGCTGTGTGACCCTG